CATAAAAATGTACTTTTGACAGGGATTTGAAACTATCATGGCACTTCATCCCTAAACACTTTAGCATGGATATTAAATACTAAATACTTCTGTCATGAATAAAGACAGTCTTCTACAAAACCACAATACCATTGCCACACTTAAGAAAATAAGTTTTTAGTATCATCTACTCTGGCCAAATTCAGATTTCTCTAAGTGTGCTATAATCTGATGGTTTGTGCTTGAATCTGTTGAGATTTGGCAGAAAGTAAATAGGGAAAATGGTTTGGAAGTGCCAGCAAGGAGCAAAGAAAGTGTAGATGGATAGATAGATACAGACAGACATAGTTATTTAGATCTATGTATCTATCTACATATATACATACATATAGATATGACAACATAGAAATAATTACGAATTACCATTGATTCATCATATGAGAGTAAACGTATGGGAAATTTTTAAGTGTCCTTATTAAGGAGGCAGCCATGTGTTGTGTGAATCATTATCTAAAGCCATTCCAGACTCTTGTGTTTCATTGAGTAGTATAAAGGTTGAAGAAGTTTTGGACAAATACAATGTTGCCAAATTTTTATTTTGCTAAGAAAGGATGGACGTGTAAAGTCAATCAACAAATAAAAACAATCTATTTCATCTGTTATAGCCACGGTATCATGAAACAAGGAAAAATTTTAATGCCAAAAAATAGAAAGTGTATAATCTCAGGATAATTATAGTTTTGAGCTTTTTTTTTTTAAGTTCATTACAGTGTCTTTTTTTCTCTCTGGATCTATGAGAATTATATAATTGACTAGTGTCCAGAAACTAGTAAGGAGAATTTTCTGGAAGCAGAACCCAAGGAATCTGTATTTACATATATGTATGTATTTTTTAAAAACAGCTGCCCCACTTAAAGTGCTGATCAGCAGGACTTGGGCACCAGGGCTGCATAGTCTGCTTGCTCCTGCAGCACCATGCGGGCCAGGGAAATCAGAGCTCCTGTGTGGCCCCTTTCTATTTTTAGGTCTGTGATCCTCTTTGAAGAGTGGGTACAGGAAAGCCTCTGAGGATTCTCTCTCTCTCTCATGAGAGCCGTCCTATTCCTGTGCTGACTTTTGGTCACTGTCAGCTTTGCGGCCAAGCAAGCCCCTGGTGCCATGACCACTACTCTGAGTGGGAGGAAGTGAGCGCTGGGTGATCTCAGTGGGATGCTATCTACGGAAGTCCGTTTGTGTCAAGTATTTGATTATCTGAAATATTTAACTAAGTTATTGAATGAGATTCAGATAAAACCTATTTTCTGATGTAACTTTTTTGTGTCTGTGTGCAGGATACAAGTATAGTAGATTATCAAAACCAGAATTTTGTACAGCAGTGTTTTATGGGAGAAAATGGACATTCTGGTTGCTTCCAGGTTTTTTTTTTCCATAATAAACAGTGCTACAGTAAATTTCCTTAAAATACATGTTTTTATGGCTGTAGGCTAGATTCCTTCATTTGGGGTTACTCTGTCAAAAGTTATGCATTTTTAGAATTATAATAGGTATTTCCATATTGGATTAATATCCAAAATGTGGTGTAGCGTCCCAGTTATAATGATTGTTTTCGTTGTTGCTTATATTCCACAACATCAGCACAAAATGTATGAAGGACTTTATCTGAATGTTAAAACAAGACTCTTTGTGGAAGGTTCTCACTGTCCTTAGATATTAGAAACTAGAACTTGACATTTAGTGTTTTAGCATTTGTTTATCTGGGTGAATGGCTTTTCCTTTCCAGATTGCTATTCAAAAAAATAGGTTGTCTGAAAGTCAGGAAAAAGCAGTGAACCTGAAGAAAGATTTGTCAGAGATGCAGGAATGGATGACCCAGGCAGAAGAAGAGTACCTGGAGAGGGATTTTGAGTACAAGTCACCGGAAGAACTAGAGAGTGCAGTAGAAGAAATGAAGGTGAGTCTGGGGCCAGTGTCAATAGGCTTTATAGCTCCCCTTCTTCCTTAAATATGAATGAATGAATGAATGAATGGGCGAATGAATCTATCTATCTGTCTATCTATCTATCATCTATCTATCAATCATCTGTAAAGCATGATATGTACATACAATCTTGCATAGTTGGATTTCAAATTGGAAAAAAAATATGGAAGGATAGCTGCTGTGATTTTAGTAGAAAAAGGAAGCCGAGACTCCATGTGTTCCATTTGGCCCATGAGTTGAGTCCATGAAGGCCCCTAAGACTGTCTCTTCCATTAGAACCTCAGGGAGCCCTAGAGAATGACTCAAAAATTTAGTTTTATCAGTTATGTTCACAGTGTTGTGCAACCATCAACACTTATCTATTTCCAGAAGTTTTAAAGAAGAATTGTCTTTTGTCAGGAGCAAGGGCGACTTCCCAATTTGGTTGCGATTTATCTTCATTTTATCAAAGGTATTCTTCCAGTGAATTCATGGGAAACACATGAATAACAAAATTTTGTTAGAGCAGGTAAGAGTCGCAGTAGGAACATTGTCAAGGGATTTAATATCATTTGGGTCTACAGGATGTATTTCCTGTAAACTTATATTCCTGTGTCAATAGTCTTGAATGCTTTCTTTTTTTGTATAGTGAAGGAACTGGGCATCATTCCCAAATTTCTAACATTGATTCAAGTGTCCTTCAGTGTTCATACCAAAGGAGATAGTGTCTTAAAGGCTATTTAAAAAAAATAATAAGATTAAGCCACACATTAACTGTTTTATGCCAAATTTAACTTGCCTAAAAGTATAACTAAAGCAAAAATTTCTGTATATCTGTTTATTTTTTATTTTTTTAAAGATTTTATTTATTTGAGAGAGAGAGAATGAGAGACAGAGAGCACGAGAGGGAAGAGGGCAGAGGGAGAAGCAGACCCCCTGCTGAGCAGGGAGCCCGATGCGGGACTCGATCCCGGGACTCCAGGATCATGACCTGAGCCGAAGGCAGTCGCTTAACCAGCTGAGCCACCCAGGCGCCCCTGTATATCTGTTTAAAAAGGGATTATATTTCATCAATGCATTATTGAATGTGAATCAAAGTAAATACAGTAAGGGAGTCTTACTGTACTTGTATGTACTGTTTTCACTGAAGCATCTTTTTTTAGTGTAGTTTTTTTGAGAGCTTTTAAAATATTCAGTATAAGGTATTTTAAAGGTAGCCTACCATGTTAAGAACCATCTTATTTAATTTATTCTCTTCCTTTATATTATTGGCATTGTAGTTTTGTGGTTTCTTAAAGTCACTAGGGATGAGAGCTTAGAGAAATAAGTTTAACCTTGATTGGGCAACATTCTATTTGTTTTTATTCTTCCAAACAACCGTTATGGTTTTAAAAACCACTATACTTAATTACTTTAACAACCGAGAGAGAGATTTAAAACCATTAAGCAGTAGAGGAAGCTAAAAGGGAACATGAAAAGCTGTCTTGGGTTGATTTTTCTGAAAGTGAGTCTTCATCCCCAGCATGGAGGGAAAGTCAGGAAAGAAGCTATTTCTAGGTTAGACTTCTTAGTATAACTTCATCAACTTCGAAATGCTATTAATTATCAGAAGCATAGATACACCTATGTTCCAGGAGAAAAAAAGGTATGTTTAAATTATTTTTAAATGATACCTCTACTATGGCGAAAATTTATTTATTACAGTTTAATATGCTCAGACTTACAGTGTTTAATTAAAATACCTCACTTAGATTCTTATCATGGGCCCAGACTTGGAAAATACTCCACGTCAGTAACTGAGGGTGACTCAGGTGTTCACATTGCTTGTTATGAAATGTAAATGTTACAGTTAGTGTTTGTTCTTATTTCAAAAGTACTCTCTGTGGTGATTACCTAAATAACATTCCAAGTGGGTAGTTAGAATCATGTCAGCATTTTAATTTTGGTTTAGTTATCTTTTCAAAAAAGAAATAAATTAGTTACTGAGAAAGGGAGACAGTTTTCAAGTTCATCCTTTCTTGGACTAGAGGGCGAAAGAGGACGTGTTGCAGAAGGAGGTGAGAGTGAAGATTCTCAAGGACAACATCATGTTACTGGCTGCAAAGGCGCCCTCTGGTGGCCAGGAATTGACATCTGAGCTGAATGTTGTGCTGGAGAATTACCAACTTCTTTGTAACCGAATTCGAGGAAAATGCCACACGCTAGAGGTATGTTATTTTATCAGTGACATATTTCTGAGATCAAACTGTGTAAAGTACTGACCATTTCCATATCTTGGAAAAAACTCGAATTTTCTTTTCCAGTATGGGATCATAAAGGAAAAGTTGTTCTTGGATAACAAGTTGGTAAAATGAAACTGGGATAAAAAAATAGGAAACCAAAATTTGCCTTCAATTAGTAGCAGGTTCTTGGGAAAGCGGTTTCATATCTTTAGAATTTTTTTATATGTGAAATCAAGGTTTTCATGTTTCAGGTGATCTGTAGGGTCTGTGCCAATTCTAAAATTTTAGAACAATGTAATGTGAGCCTCTCCTTTGTTTTGTTTTGCCTGGTTAGTACACAGAGTTGAATTGAGGTTTTTTGTTATGACTGGTGTCTGAAGTTAGAGAGTTACCTGATAGAAAGAAGAACTTGCAATGTGCTGTTATTTTCCTGGACCATTTTCCCCCCTGGCCATTGGTTGAAGATGTAGATGATGCTGAGTTGTTGTTGTTGTTGTTTTTAAATAAGTTTTTGCTTGTTTGTTTTGACATTAGTGTGACTTTTGTTGCATCTTACTGAAAAGATTTAAGAAGAATTTCAATTTATAAACAATTTAATTTAAATTCAGTTCAACTTAAATTAAATGATTGTATTGTGGTAAATCCTAAAATGGTAAACAATCACAGTTGTAATATTTAAATTCATTCAGTGCTTGGCTTGTTCTGAATCTATTTTGTGCTAAGATAAATATGTATAATTCAAACTGGTTAATAAGAAAGCTGTAGGTCAAACAAAACTTCATTCCTCAAAGTTAACATACAGTTGATCCTTGAACAATGTGGGGGCGGGGGTGGTTAGAAGCACTGACCACACCTAATGTCACCCAGCTGAAAATCTGTTTATAACTTTTGACTTTCCCCAAACTTAACTACTAACAGCCTACTGTTGACCAGAAGCCTTATTGATGATATCAACGATCAATTAACACATACTTTGCATGTTATATGTATCATGTACTGTATTCTTACAATAATGTAAGTTAAATGTTAAGAAAATCATAAGGAAAAGAAAACATGTTTATATTATTGTGTTGTAAAAAAATCCATGTATAAATGGATCCACGCAGTTCAAACCTGTGTTGTTCAACGGTCAACTGTATTGTCTAATATAAAATACCTGAGGTTACTCAATTGAGAATTTAAAATTTAAAATTTTGTAAACATAATATATAATATTATGTATGCCTAATCTTGAATCCTAGTGAATGATCTTGGACTTGAACTTTACTGTAGTTTTATCCATGTTTTTGTTTTCCTATTTATTTATAGTCAAAATAACAATTCATAATATGTTAAAATAATGAACAAAGTCCCCAAGTTATACTAATCTAACAAAAGACCACCACGTATCCTGTGTCATTTCTTCAAGTTGTGTTTATGACCCAGAGGTGGCAATTTGAGGATGAGGAGTGAAGTATGCATGTTGAAAATTTGGAATTGCTTTGAGAATTACTTTGGAATTAATTTGAGAGAATTTCTTTGAGAGAAGAGAAGGAAAAATGCCAGAAAAAAAAATGATAAGAGAGAAAAGATGAGAGAAAAGATAATATCTTTAAAGGGGGAAATGAAAAGATGAATAAAGAAGTTTAAAAAACTGAAATGCTCTGAAATTTTGTCCAAGATGACTAAGGAATCTTAGGCAGAAATAGCCCAAATTCCTAAATTAGAGTAAGAATGTTTTTCTTTGGCAAGATCCAACTTTATTACCTTGATTATTTCTAGATCCCTTAATTTTTTTTTAAATCATGAAATATTTCAAATTTATAGAAAAGTACAGATAATAACACCTATATAGCCCTATATAACCAATGTATAACCATATATGTATATATATATATATATTCTTCAGATATAACTTAATGTTTTGCCTTATTTTTCCAGATCTTGTTTTTAAAATAAAACAAATTAGCATTACAGACTATGTTTCCTCCTTTCCCAGCCCGTACCATCTCTCTCAGCCCCTCTCTTGAAGTAGTCATTATCCTGGAGTTGCTCTATATTCTTCCCATCCCTGTTTTTATATGTTTAATATATACACTTATGTTTCAGTTGTCAGTTGCTATGTAACAAACCTCACCAAAGCATAGTGACTTACAAAAACAGCCATTTATTATTTCTCATGATGCGTGGTTTGATCTGGCCCAGCGGAGTTGCTCTGCTCCACGTGGTATAGGGAGAGCGCACTCAGGGGGCTGCATTCCTGTGGGAGCTCAGCAGGGGGCGCTCGCAATGGCCTCTCCTCTGCCGGTCTTTCTTGCCGTGGTTCTCTGCAGCAGGGCGGCTGGCTTTTAGGAGGGAGAAGCAGAAGTTGCCAGCCCCCTTAGAGGCCAGGCCAGCAATTTGGTAGAGCATCACCTCCGTAGCATTCTTTTGTTCTAAGCAGGTTGCGAGGCCAGCCCACATCCTGGGGGAGGAGAAAACAAATTCTCCACCTAACAGGAGTAGTGGCAAAAAATGTGTGGTTATTATCAGTCCGCCATAGTTCACTCTCTGGCCATAAATTCGTTCCATTGTTCCCTCATGCAAAATGCACTCAGGCTCTCTCAGGGACTCCCAAAGTCATATCCGGTACAGCATCAAGGTCGAAATCCAGTGTCTTGTGATGTGCGCATCAGGCCCAGATATAATGGGGCTCATTGGAGCAGTTTCTTCAGGTGCAGGTGTGTGGGAGCAGTGCCTCTAGATCTGGTGACCTGGGCACAAAAAAGACAGGTTATCTGCACCCCCCATACCCAACATCCATGGTGAGATGGGCACAGGAATGCCTCGGTGGACACTTCCATTCAAAAAAGTTGGCAGAATGGAAGGTAATAAACAGTCACTGGTAATGGTGACTCTGAAATCTAGTAATAGTAGTTTTGGTATCTGGGCAGGTACGTGTGTGTAGTCAGTGTCCTGCTCCATCAGAGATAAGGTTCTGTTGGCTGCTGAGTAGATCTCGGTCTGCTCTCTGTAGAAATCTGGGGGACTAGACACCTCTTTTCTCTTTTAGTCTTAGCCAGGGATTGGCAGATTATAGCCTAAGGAGTAAATCTGGCTTGTGGCCTGTGTCTGTATGGCTTGTGAGCTAAAAATGGTTTGTCTGTTTTTAAAAGAGTGGTTCAAAAAGCAAAACACACACACACACAATAAACAAAAAAGAATCTGTGACAGAGACTGAATGTGGCCTATGAAACCTAAAAGACTTACTGCCTGGCCTTTTATAGAAAAATTTGGAGTGCTGGGATGTACCTTCTCTAAGTCAATAGATCTGAAAGAGGGTCACCCCAGGAGGCTCCCTGCTGGACTCTTTCTCCTAAATTTATCAATCGAATAGGCTCATCCTATATGGGAAGGGGTAGTTCCTCCCATAACTTTGCTCCTAGAAAGTGGAGTATAAATTTATCCCTCTCCCCGCAAAACTCCCGTAGGAATGGGGAATAAGTGATTGGGACTAATACAGTAAGAGTATAGTATAACTCCATTTGGTTGAATGTGACTCTCTTCATATATAGACACATTCATAGGAATTTAGGAAAAAATTGAAAGAGTATACAGCAAATTGTTAGATCAGTGAGCTCTGAGTTAGAAGAGGGTAGACCCCAGGGAATTCTAATTTTCTATATGATTTTGTTAACAAGTGTTGCAGTTATGAGTACTTTTTACCCTCCTGTTTAAAAAAAAAAACAACTGATAATATTTCCCTCCTGGTTTCTTCTACTAATTATATAGTTTTATTTTTGGCATTTAAATAGATCCTTGGAATTTTTTTTAGTGCACAGAGGGAGACAACTCATTCCTCTTTATCCCCCGATCCCCCCCCTCCCACCAACTGGTCTCATATGATTTGTTGAAGAATTTTATTTTTTCACTTATTGCAATTCCAACTTCATCAGTTTCTAAATTTTCAAGTATACTCATATCTAAACGAAATTGTTATTATTGGTTAGAGAGAATATGTTGTATTGGAGCTCCATCACCTCTTAAATGACTTCTTTTATAATAGAGCTTTTTTCTTGCTCGTGTTAGGAAGTATGGTCTTGCTGGATTGAACTGCTTCACTATTTGGATCTTGAGACCTGCTGGCTGAGCACTTTGGAGGAGCGGATGAAGAGTACCGAGGCCCTGCCCGAGAAGGCAGACGCTGTCAATGAAGCCCTGGAGGTGGGCAGTTCTTTCTGTGGCAGCGAGGCCAAATGCGTACTCCAAGGAGGAACATGGTGCTTTCTGCTGACAAAGGCATTTGCTTTCTCGGTGGTTTTCAGCATAACTTCCATGACCTGCAGTATTTATACAGTCCTGTGTATTTAGATTATTGGTGACCCACAAACTCAGCCTTGTGGGGTGGGTTAGCTGTTTGATAATTAACACGTTTTGGGCATGAGTACCTTTAGCAGAGCACCCTAGTAATTTTCCAGCTTATTTTTACCTTTCCCCAGATAAAACTGCCTTCTGTTATTAGGGTAATTGCTCTCTTATTTCTTCATAAAGTTATTTTTGCTCATTAGACAGGGCAACTGCTGAGTTTACAGTAGCTCTTGCTCTGTTATCTTCCCCCATGTGAAGAGCTGGGGACGGGTTAGAGTGGTTAGTCTTTGAGGCTTGGATCCTGTCTTAGGAGCTTGTCCCCAGGCTTAGGCTCGAGCTCCACGAGGCCAAGAAATGTACCTGCTTTTTCATCATTCCCAAGTTAGCAGCACAGCGTGTGGCACACGATAACTTAAAAACTCTTTCTTCAGTGGATTAAAATGTGAAGAGAGTAGATTTGCTTCAAATAAAAGAGGAGGAAGAGCGTCCCTTTGCTTTTAAAATGGAAGGGACACAGGATGGTAACTGAGTGGATGACTGGACTAAAGGTCAGGAATGAGTCCAAGGTGGGACCTGAAGTCCAAGAGCCGGATGCTCTGCTGGAGGAAAGATACCGCTTCTCAAGTAAGATCACAGGGTGAGAGGTTGAGAGAAGAAGAAAAAGTATGAAATCTTCCTTTAAAAACATATCTTCCTAATATGAGAATTAAAACAGGTGCATTCCAGAAATATGGGAAAATGGAGAGAAGTAAAAAGCAAGATAAGCACTTTTAAACGTTTTGGTGTATTTCTTCCTAATTATTATTTTCTATCCACACTGGAAGGCAGTACATTATAGTACTGGATAAATACAGTCTTTAAGTACAGTCTTGAAGTTGGAATTGTAGCTCTACTTTTTACTGTGTGTTTTTGTATTTAACCTCTATGAGCTTCAGTTTTCCCATCTGTAATATGGCAATAGTATTTAGCCCATCCAGCTAATTAGATTTATGTATATAAAAAGTGTGTATATAAAACAGTGTCTAGCATTCTGTGTATGTTGTAGAAAAATGAGTACCTATTTTTAGTAATATGGTCAATAACCATTGGAGATAATTTTGCTTGTATTGTTTTCTGCTTTTAAAATTTTCATCATACCATGAACATTTCCCTACGTAATTAATAATTACTGAAATTATTTTTATGAAAGTCTAGTAACATGTATCATCATTCATACTGAGTTTTCAATTTTAGGTACTTATTAATACCATGATGGACATTTTTGTAAATTAATCATCTACCTCATTTCTGGTCCTGTTCTTTAGGTAGATTTATAGAGAATGGAATTACTTGTTTAAAAAAGTGGACATTTTTAGGATCCTTGATATATTTTGCCTCAGTCAGTGCATATTTTTTCTCCTCTCCCTGTCTAGTCTCTGGAATCCGTTTTGCGACATCCAGCAGATAATCGCACCCAGATTCGAGAACTTGGCCAGACTCTGATTGATGGAGGGATTCTTGATGATATAATCAGTGAAAAACTGGAGGCTTTTAATAGTCGATACGAAGACCTGAGTCACCTGGTAAGAATTGGGGAACCCAAATGTTGATAGGTATCACGGTATAGAGCTGACTGCAAGAACTTTTACCAAGGGGAAGAGTTGGTAACCAACATGAATAGGGGTGTCGAGGACATTGAAATCCTAGGTGGGGAAGAGTAGACCTAACACTTAGAAGACAAGCAGAACTTTGATGAATAAAGAAATCTACCCTTGAGATTGTTTCTACTTATGAACTATTTAATTTCCTTTAAGGATATTATAGCTATATATAAGAATAGGAACTCAGATTATCCTAGTAAATATTAGGACCAACTGAATTTGACGTAAGTTGCTGTTATAAAATGTCATAATCTCTAGATACCTATTTAGAATGCATCAAATATGCATGTTCATATCAGTAAGTAGAGAAAGGAGATTATCCTTTATAGGAGGGTTGGATGGATATTACATACTTTTAAACACATTAAATAATAATGATTGATGTTTAGGTTGTGAAGAGCATCAAATTCACCCCAAAAGTGCAGCAGATGGTGGTTCAACACATATGTAAATCCGTAGAACTTGAGACTTTGGAAAAAAAAAAAGAGATTTATATGTTCACTCTACTGATAGACATTCTTGTTATATTTTATATCGTTATTGATAGGCTTATTGCGGGTTCCTGTAAATATCCTAAATGTGTAATAGATGACATTTTTATTGTCTCTGTCTAATATGTTATGTGGGAAAACTTTTTTTTTTAATTGAGGTATAATTGAAATATAACATTATATTACTTTCAGGTGTATGACGTAATGATTTGATATTTGTATACGTTGTGAAATGATCACCACAATAGGTTTAGCTAACATCCCTCACCATACATCGTCACAATTTTTTTTTCTAGTGATGAGGACTTTTAAGATCTACTCTCTTCATACTCTCAGTCTGTTCTCGTCTCTATGAGCTTGTTTTTTTTGTTTGTTTTAGATTCCACGTATAAGTGAGATCATGTGCTATTTGCTTTTCTCTGACTCATTTCCCTTAGCATAACACCCTCAAGGGTATTTTTATATTTTGTCATTGTATATAGAAAGAAATAAAAATTAGTAATTTGCTGTAAGATAAATAAGACACTAGAAGAATCTTTTCACTGTTATCTTTGCTCATTATTATTTATTTGTAATGTAGGCCAAAGTTTTGAGCTTTTACAGTCTGTTTCTATCTTGGTGACCAGAACATGAGGGTTTTCTTATATTCAGCTCTTTATATTGGTGCTGAGCAACTAATGATTCAATTTTTCCCCTGTGTAGGCAGAGAGCAAGCAGATTGCTTTGGAAAAGCAACTCCAGGTCCTACGGGAAACTGACCACATGCTTCAAGTCTTGCAGGAGAGCTTAGGGGAGTTGGACAAGCAGCTCACAACGTACTTGACTGATAGGATAGATGCCTTCCAAGTTCCACAGGAAGCTCAGGTACTGCCATGGAGTGGAGGGCTTTCAAGACATAAAAAGAGCATATGTAATCACTTCCTCCCCCACAAGACAACCAGCCCCTCTTGCCATTCCAAACTGAGTCAGTGAGGAAGGTTCACCTTACTTATGGGGCTGCATATGGGTTTGGAGTTCTTTTGGTCTCTCTTTGAGACCCTGGCAAATGACCACCATTTTAAAATTATAGTTATAAAGTTGGGAAAATTCCTTTTTTTAAATAAATAAGTGGTGAACACTAGAAATGACGAACGCCAAGATCTTAGTTTGTGTGTCCCACATGGGAGTCCGGCAACACAGGTGGCCTGTATTATTATTAAAGTTATTAAAGCTTGTACAGTGGTCAACATGTTCTTATGTATTGTGTGACTATCTGGAACTTTTAACAGAAGAGATGTTCTCCCCTTTCTGATCTCTTTGTTGCAGAAAATCCAAGCAGAGATCTCAGCCCACGAGCTGACTCTGGAGGAGTTGAGAAGAAACACACGCTCCCAGCCTCCAACTTCCCCGGAAGGCAGGAATGCCAGAGGAGGAAGTCAGATGGACTTGCTACAGGTGAAGAGGGAGAGCAGCTCCCTTTCACTCTTTGATGTGCTGGGCGTAAAAAAAATGAGGAAGAGCCGATGACTTGGATGCCTTTGGTCTTCTTTATGCTATGAACAGTGGGATGGGAATGATGCATTGCCTCCCGGGCAAAGCAGCAGAAACAAATTGTTACATGGGTGGAAAATACTGATCTGATTTTATAGTTGAATTAAGAAGAGAGAGCAAGCTAGATTTAGAAGTTATCTTTGTATAGATTTTTTCATTAATGCAGAGCCTCTGTCCGTTCTGGCGTGGCCTGGTGCACTGGGCAGGCTGAGAGCATGCGAGGCAGCACCACCAGTCCTTTAACGGTGGATGTGAGACTGACATTGACTCTGAGCTTGCCATGAAGGGCATTTTGAGTTTTAGGTTCTTGAACTATATTTTTCAAACAGGTGAGAAATTCTGTGAAGTTTTAATTCCAGGAAGGCTCGCTTAGCCTTTTCTTATGTCTTAGACTGATACTCTGTCTGTCAAATAATTCATGACACTGCGTTGTGCCGTGCACTCAGGTGATTGCTTAGGAACAAAGCCTGGGTTCCTTTAAGGAATGTTTTTATGGCTGCTTTATCTTGCAGCTTTCTAGCAGTGTGTTTTGTATTAATATCATCTGCTGAGAGAGATTATCATTCTGATGTGAATTGCTTATTTTCATTTCTGGAAACAGAGGAAGCTTCGAGAAGTGTCCACAAAGTTCCAGCTTTTCCAGAAGCCTGCCAACTTTGAGCAGCGCATGCTTGATTGCAAGCGTGTGTTGGATTGTGTTAAAGCAGAACTTCATTTTCTGGACGTGAAGGATGTGGATCCTGATGTCATACAGAGCCATCTGGACAAGTGTATGGTGAGGCCATTGGGTGGATAATGTGTCTAGTGGGTTTTCCAGCAGCTTAATATGGCTTCGTCTGGTGCTTCCATACATATGGCTTATTTAATAATTACCAGTCTATAGTGAGCTAAGAAGAGAGCTCAGTGGTGAAAAACAGGTTAAAATAAGAAGTGTGGTAGCCTTCAAGGAAATTAGAAGAGGTAAGAGAGACAGGTGGGAGAGAGTAAAATCAATTACTACAATGTAACGAGATAAGGAAGCTGGAATAGACATGCATATTACGTGATTTAAAAAACAAGGGAAACACATCTTTTTTTTTTTTTT